GGCAGCTGCAACTACATTTAAATATATTTTTTAATTAAGCATGAATGTGTGTGGATTTGTACCTATGCATGCAATACCCGATGGGGGCTAGCAGATGGCATCCCTTGGAGCTGGAGTTCCTGGCAGTTGTGAGTGGCTTGACACGGGTGCTGGGAACCACATGGGTCCTCTGCAGGTGTCCATGCTCCTAAACCACTGAGCCATCTCTCCAGCTCCTCACTTTTAACCTCAGACTTTCTCACAATGACTCTTTGACTTCATATTCTCATTCTGTGTCTCCCTCTTCCCCGTCCCCTTCCCTCCCTTTCTCCCTCCCCCGCTCCTTCCTCTTCATAGAATAGCATCTTAGATTAGATGATGAGATCTTCAGTAGACCTGTGGGATGTCAGGTGTTATGGTACCCAGAGTCCCAGGAGCCGAGGAAGCTGCTGTTTACAGATCACATCAGTGAGCAGTGTGGCCCCCTTTGACCTCCACATTTGGGATTCTTTTTAAGAATTTATTTTTATTTTATGTGCATTGGTGTGTTGCCTGTGTGTATGTCTGTGTGAGGGTGTCAGGTCTTGGAGTTACAGACAGTTGTGAGCTGCCATGTGGGTGCTGGGAAATGAACCCGGGTCCTTTGAAAGAGCAGTCAGTGCTCTTAACCCCTGAGCCACCTCCCCAGCCTGGATTCTTTTGATTTTAATGAAAGGGTGTCAAGTATTGCTCTTCCAACATGAGTGGGCCCACCCAAGACTTAAGAAAGGGCACACAAGCCAGGGGAACTAATACACAACAATCCCAGCAACTCCTGAGATAGAGGCAGGAAGACTGCCCTTATCTACATAGTAGGATCAAAGCCAGCCAGAGCTGTACAGGAAGACCCTGTCTCAGAAACAAGTAAATCAAAAGTCGTAAGTCCTAACAACCTTCCCTTAGGCCTATGACTCCTGCAGACATCACTTCTGTGATCCACAATGAGGTTGTATGCCAAAGAACAGCTGGCCTTCCAATTAGGTGGACGTTGCCGATAAACTAAAATCTCTACCTGCCATGGAGATGGTGACCCTGTAACTGGAGGCTGCTCTCCTGCCCATCCGCTCGTGAATAACCACTCTGAGGCTTAATATTAATTATAAATGTTTGGCTGATGGCTCAGGCTTCTTACTGACTAGCTGTACATAAAAATTAACCCATTTCTGATCATCTGTATGTCACCACATGCCCCTGTGATTTACCAGCAATGCTGTGGCATCTTACTCCTCTGCCAGCTGCTGGCATCTCTCTGACTCTGCCCTTTTTCTCCCTCTATCTGTTTGGAGTTCCCACCTGGCTCTATTCTGCCTGTCTATTGGCCAAATCAACAGTCATAAAACATATTCACAGCATATGGAGAGACATCCCACATCGCTACTCTGGCTTCTTTGGTCCTATTGTGAGTCCGTTGTTAGAGGGAAGAGTGCCTCTGCAGCCTGCCTCCCTACGACTTAAGATGGGGTTGAGGGCTCTGGAAACTGATGGATCCCCCATGAGGTAGAGCAGTTCATTTGCTCAAACCTCCCTGGGTAGAAAACTCAGTTTCAGAAACGCCTTCTGGTTTTAGAGACTCCTAGTTTTGTTTTACCTTCTCCACCTGGTAATTCTGAGTCAGTTCTGAGAGGCCTGCGAGGACAGTTTCTGCAGGTTTTCTCTAACAATGCCTGTTCACAGGCATGATTTTGGAAGGACGTTCCAGTATGGGCACCAACAGAAATCTTAGCAAGACCTGGAGACAGAATCTAGACCCCTCCTCTCCAAGGACGCAGAAGGCTGGCACTGACATCCTGACCTGAAGTGGTATTCCTTCCATACATACATAGGCTTCTGTTTTAAGCAGTTATGGTGTCAATTCCCCTTAAAAGATGAACTAGCACCAGCGGAGTTAGTACAGACACAAAGAGCAATCTTCTGTCCCTCCCTCGCCTAGTGGGGACTCGTTCCCATACTTCTGAACCCACAAAACCCTCAGCAGCTTATCCAGTGTTACTTGAAAATACAACATGGGAGTCAGGGATGGAGGGATCCCTTGGTGTTAAAGGCAATGGCTTTTCTTGCAAAAGATCAGAGTTTGATTCTGAGCACCAACATGGCGGCTCACAACCCCCTGTAAATCTAGATGCAGGGTAACAGCGCCCTCTTCCTGCCTCTGCAGGGACAGCACACAAGCAGGCAAAACACCCAAACACATAAAATACTTTTAATTTTTTTTTTTTTAAAGAAATAAAACCACAGCACAGTAGGATAAAGTTCACATCTAGACCTTTGAGAAAGCCCCTCCCTCTCCTCCGGGATCTTAAATCATCTAGTGCTTACATTTGTCACCTAGATGACAGCCACTCTTCCGGCATACTAGCCTCTGCTACATCCCTGATCCACCACCTCTCGGACGACGTGGAAAGTCTTCCCTGGTAGCTATGGGAGTCGAATGTGAGCCAGTGACTGCCACTCAGACCTGTTCCCAGACCGCAGGTCATTTCTCTATGTATAAAGTACTCAGGGCTGTGGTCACCCCATGGTTTCCTCTACAGCTAGCCTCTCTGCACTACACAAGGCATGCAGCATCCTTTAGCTTGAGATCTGATCATCCGTATCCCCCAGGTCGGGTTCCAACACTGTATCCATCTTACCAGAAATACATATCCAGACAAGAACCACTCCAGGTAACTCAGGCAAAGAAAAGGGCTGGAAACTACAACCCAGCTGACTCTTTTCAAAGCCAAACCCAAGGCATGAAGAGAACTGCCAAGCCCCCATCAGCTACAGCTGGTGGGCCGAAATAAAACCCAGCATTAGTGCCACTGACTGTGTGCTGCTGTGGTTAAGCCTTGTTTTGTCATCTCAACAAGGTAGCAAAGAAAAAAAGGAACAAAAGAGATCCGTGGGGGGAGGGGGGTGGAGACTGTGACTATGAAACTTTGAGACCTGTTGAAAATACAGAACACAACCAAATGGATGCTTTCAAAGTATGGTTTTGAGAGCACGGTGACAGGGCAAGGATCCAGGTCAGTTGGCAGAGTGTCTGCCTGGTACACAGTATGTCCTGGGTTTGATCCCCAGCATTCGAAAGGTGGGGGGCAGTAGGATCAATTGTTCAAAGTTAAACTGAGCTCCATCGAAGTTTGAGATCACCCTGGGACGCATGAGGCTCTGTCTCCAGGTCGGGGAAATGGAGGGAGAATAGCAACAATGCCCCTGTCCAAGCATTTTCAGATTATTGTTGATGTCGTTAACAAGAAAATTAGCCCCATGGAATTAGAGCCACACCCTGTATTTTAAATACACTATTACTTAGGTTGAAATGTTCAGGGGATTAAAATCAAGGTGGGATAAGACAAAAACCTATGTCACGTGTGTGAGCCACTTAATGCACACCTGGTGTGTGCTGTTGAGCAAGCCATGGCTCACACGCTGGCTTTACCGTCCTCCGTGATGAACAGCCCAATCTCAATTGAGTTTCTGAAAGCCGGCACTAGCCAAACCTAACTATCTGGCAGAACTGGTGACAGATCCCTCTATAACATGTGCTGGGTGGCTTTGTTGGGCGTAGGATCTGGCTGTGTGGCCCGGACGGGTCTCGATGTAGTGGGAGGAGTATGTTTTTGTTGTTATTTTGTTTTATTTGTTTCTTTGTTTGTTTTACTTAAACACTGGCATTGACTTTCACTGCTATAAAAGGTTCATGCTGCCGTTAAGAGGCAACTTTAGAAGTTAAGGACCAGGCTCATCCCCCCACCCCCACCCCCAAGGATGACCAAAAACTAGTTAAGAAAGCACAAGAGATGGGATTCTTACTAGGGTTTGATTTTCAGGCAGATCGCAGAAGCCCTGACTGCAGAACCTTCCTTCCCACCTGAGGTCACAGAGCCATGGGAGGGGACCGGAGACCACTCCCCAAGTGCCAACTTGAAGAAGAGGAAAAGCTTCCAGATCCTTCCCTGGGCAGCCCCCTGAACATAATGCATGGCAAAGGGGTTCAGAGGCTGAGCCTTCTGAACATCTGGCAAGATCAAAGTGCATTTCAAAATGCCGTCCAGAAACAGCGTGGCGTCTCTCCCCACCCTGGGAGCCGACGGTTGTACCACTGAGTTCTCTCTCTTTCCTGAAACTTAGTGGTTAAGAGAGCTAGGCCATCTTTAGGACGAGTGCCCACATCCTCTGCAGACTCTGGTTAGAGGGTGACAAACTGAAGCCTGTGGGTCAGGGGTCACAGCAAAGGTCAAGAGCTAGCCTGGGAAGAAGCAGAGCCCTGAGGCCACAGGTGACCTAGAAACAGTGGGGGAGGGGGAAGAAGCAGCAGAACACCCATCCTGGGTGCAGGCAATGTGTAAGAATAGCATCAACCAAGTTCTAGTGTGTTGGTAAGCACAAATGCATGCATGTGTACCTTTTCTCACTTTGTGACACACTCAGATCATTTTAAATTAATCAATTCCCTCTTATCAATCACGAAATAGGAAAGAATCTCAGCCAAAAATATCCTGACAGAACTATGGCCTGAGATGACAAGCACCTCCACCTGTTTGGGGGAACAGACTGCCCGAACGTTTACAGTCGAGATTTCCAGATTTATTCTTTTGTATTTGTCATCCAAAATCCAGATCCAACCCGGACTCTGCTACTAAATATCTGATGACCTTAGACATGAAAGGTCATTTAAGCTCTTGGCTCAGGAAGCCACTGGACCTCGGGGCTCCTGACGTGTGAGAAGACGTCTATCATGGAAGACACTCTGTCAGGCCAATGATTAAAAGAATCTTATGTTATGTTATTTTACTTTGTTGGCAAAGAAGAAACAGATGTTCTTTAAAAAAAAAAAAAGCTCATTGTGCCCTTATTTCTGTTTGACTGCTAAGAAACGCGGAAGGGCCAGGCACGGGCCAGATTCAAATACCCTCCGCCGTTCCTCCCACACTGGAGCGTCAGTACCGGCCAGAGGCCAGAGAAGAGGGGCCCCGTATTATAATTACTTAAGCAGTTTATGATTTTTAAATTATATAGGTTTATTTATTTCCATTCCAATTTTTACAGAGTAAAAGATCGCATTTTAGTAGAGTGGATTCATAGGCACTTGGGAGCACTGATTTCTCATGAGCAAACAAGAAGGACGGATAGCCATGGGGAAGGTTTGAATGGCCACGAGGATGGGCCTCTTCCCGGACACCAAGCTCACGTGTGCTTGCCCGCCACTCCAGGAGCCCTGTCCAGATGAGAAGTAAACAAAGGCAGAACATGCTCTGCCACGCCCAGAATGTAGGCTAAGGCTTGAGGCTGCAGACCGCGAGGGCACCCAGGCAGGCAAGGCCCTTAGATGCACCGGTAGGCACAATAGCTCTTATTCCCTGGGTTCGACACCCATAAACATGGCATATTCACTTGTAGAAGACCTGAGTGAATGAGTCTAATTAAATGCTTTTACAAAAAACGGCAAGGTTCAGAAAAAAAGATGCTCGCTCTAAGGCACAGAAAAACACACAGAAGCGAACAGACTAAAGCAGAGAATTAGATCTCAGTGGAGGAATCTCATTACTGCAACAAGTCAAAGAATTACTTCAAAGAGATTGCAAGGGAGGGCCCATTGAGCAGCCCATGGCGAGCCTTGCGACCACCGCCCTGAGTGCGCTCGTCCTTGTCCTGTGGCTGGCTGGGGGTGCTGCCGAGGGACTCCTGTAGCATCACTTGTATTTGTAAAATCCTTCTCCGCTCTTCTTGCCCAGCTTTTTCTGGGCCACCAGATTATTCATGGAAGAACTGGGCTGAAACAGGGGGTTTGCCGGGTCCATTTCATGCCACCCTGTTGAGAGGAAGGACAAGGGCTTACTTTGGTTGGGCAGTCTCGGAGCATGCCTGGGGCACAGATATGGGCCATGCAGGCCATCGTGGCAGAGATATAAGGCAACCTTCGCCAGCGCAGCCAACACTGAGCCTACAGCGGGCACGCCACTATTCGCCTGTGCTGCTAGAAGCCTGGCTCCATTGCAGGGTGCCTCGTTCCCCAGGACTTCCTCCACACCAAGGCAAATGCCCACAAGCACAGATATAATCTCCCACTAACTGGCTGGCTTCCCAAGTGGGACGGTTAGGGCTCCAGATCCCTGTTATATCCTGCGTTCTGCTCCCATTGGAGCACACAGTCTCCCACATTTTCAGATTTCCCCTGTCAACATCTAAGACCCTCTCTTCCTGATATTTAAAGGGGTTTGCTGAAATGCTGGAGCAGTCTGCTACATTCGACTTCAGAAGCTCATGCTGTCTTCCAAACCACTCCCCTTTAAAAACCGGCTGAATAGCTTGACTTCAGTAGAGGTCACACAAATCAGCTCATTGATAGCACGGCACAATGTACCACTGGCAACATCCTGACTTCCATTTTGCACTGTGGTTATTTAAGATACACCTGTTGGGGGGACCTGAATGGAGGGCGCACAGGACCCGAGTTATACTAGCGATGCCTATGATCTATAATTCTATCCAAATGAAAGGTCACAAAGAGTTGCCCTGCTACGCAGAAATAGGCTGTCTCCCTCCTGCTGCCTTCTGTGTGAATCTCTAGCTTGCTGCTACGGCTGAACTCGCTTTGCTCCCCCAAAGGCTGAGGATTCCCAGAGTGGCAGTGTGGAAAGCGGTGGAATCTTCTTCAAGAGCTGGGCCCTGAGAAGGCACTCATGAGACTCCACCCACCCAAGTGGAGTTATAATTTTCTCAGGAGTGGGCCAAATCTAGTGACTAGCTCCCTTCTTGAGAGAGTGGACAATTACAAACCAGGGTCATCCCGTACCCTCACCGTAGCCCTTTCTGCACATGGCTGTTTTACTTCGTAGCCTCTGCCATGTTGTGACAGAGCCAGGAGTACCTTGTCATTTGGAACATCTCTAGCTATCAGAAACAAGAGCCACACAACTCTTTTCCTTTATAAAGTATCCTATCCTCAGGCATTTGGTTGGAGTAACACAAAATGGACTAAGGAAAGCAGGACTTTGAATGTCTTAAGATCCCTTGCAACCTTTTCTCAACATTACAACTTATAGTTCTAAGAGACAATTTCAACCCAGTTTTTAAGAAGAAAGAAAAGGTTTCCATTCCTACCATCCAAGATGAACTTAGTAGTATCTAAGCCAACGTAGTCAAGAAGTTCAAATGGCCCCATGGGGTAGCCAGCTCCCAACTTCATCGCTGTATCAATGTCCTCCTTAGATGCATCACCTGCAGAGCAAAGGGCAGCCCTGAGTCACCACCACCTCTCCTCAACTCTCCCCAGGCCTGGGTCAGTTCCAGAATCACTAGGTAGGATTGTATAGACACACACACTCAGAAAATCACTAGGATCGTATAGACGCACACACTCAGAAAATCACTAGGATCGTATAGACGCACACATTCAGAAAATGTCCAGAAGCCCATGGTTTTGGGGTGGGTAAGGTTGTTGACTTGGACCACATGCCACACGTCACAAGGTTTTCAAGCCAACTGCAGCAGATGAGGACACCTCTAGACCCTGCTGCCCAGTCCACGGAGTGAAGAGCCCAGCCCTGGGAACACTGGCTCTCTAACAGCATGGGATTTCCCGAGTCCAGAGTCATTCACAAAAATGTCATTTGATACTAGAGTCGTCTTTCGTAAATGTGTGTGTGTCTCTCTCTCTCTCTCTCACACACACACACACACACACACAAACATACACACACACACGCTTAGGCTTCTGTTTATGTGTTACACGTGTATTTTTTAACTTCCTTTGTTTACAGATAAACATTCTGCTGGGCCTGTATTCACACAGTCAAGGCAACGGTTTAAAGAAAACCCACACAGCTAGAAACACGATGCACCATTTGTTCTGCATATCTGAGGATGGTTTTCAAAATCATGCCAAGTTGGCGAAGTGTTTAGACACTTCTCTACAATGCCGAGTTCCTTCTTGTTCTTCTAAGAAACACAACAGTTCTCCAGTGAGCCTTGGAGGCTGGAATTAGTCTTGTGTCTAGAGTTCGCCAGCCTGTCCTTGAACATGGGTCTGGCTAACTATCGTCAGGTGAGGTGGAGCCACTGGGCTGTGTGGAGTAGTTGAAGACAAGGGTTCTGGGCTGTTTCCTTAGAATTCTCCCTATACCGTCCTGCCGATGGTCACAAGATGCCTTTACGGAGAATAACCATGCTTTCTGCCTCCAAAATCAGAAGCCGGAATCACCTATATTACATGGTTGTCTATCTAGAATTTTGCTTCAAAGCATAAAGTAGTGGCCAAAAATATAAGCACTGAATGAAGGGCTAAAACAGTATATTCCACACCTAGACATGACAGATGTCTCAACTGGGGCCCTCAAGCAATGAATACTTCCAAATCTAATACCACATTTTTCAAAGCTCTAAAATAATGCCAGAGGCTGTCAGTGCAATCTCAGGTGATTATGGCACCAGGCACAGTGACTCATGCCTGTAAGGCCAGCAGCTGGAAAGAGAATAGTGATGCCTGGACCACCAATTGGGACCCTATAAACACATAGAGAGACAGACACAGACACAGACACACAGACACACGCGTGCAAAAAAAAATCCACTTGATTATTTTCTTTGAGTGATATGAAGTACTTAGTACTTTATACTAGCATACTAGCATATGCTAGCATATATCCTAGTACAAGTACAATCCTAATTAAGATTAGAGGGATGCTGGAGAGTTGGCTCTGTGGTTAAAAGAAATTGCTGTTCTTGCCCAGGACCCAGGTTCGATTCCCAGCACCCACACGACAGCTCAAAGCCAGGCACACACATGGTGCACAGGCATACATGCAGGGAAAACACTCTATCACTTAAAAAGAAATTAAAAAAATAGAATAAATACAGTCCTCTGCTCTACCAACTGAGCTATCCAAGGGCAGTACAAGGAAGAAGGCTGTTTACATCATGAATCGTGACCTGTGGACACCCAACGGATGTCTGGGTGGGCTGCTCCTGAGTGGAATCTCAATACAGCAATTCTAACCTTACACAAACTGCTCTGATATGCTCGAGAAATAAAAAGGAAGCATTCCGTATCATTTAGGGAGTCCAGCCCTCCTCCCCACGCACACATAAAAATAGAAGTAGAGGCATCTGAAAAATCACCCTTTGAATTTTACGTAGTAGGAAAGCAAAAATCGTCATACACACACGAATCTCATCAGGTGGTCTCACACGGCCCATCCTCCCTCCCGGTCCCACGGCAGGGTGGGGAGTCAAACCCAGAGCCTCAAGCCTGCTAAGCAACCACTCTAGCAGTGAGCTCTACTCTCAGCCCCGCTTTACTCTGTGTTTGTATCTATTACCTACCGGGTTCTCCACACTTGCAGAGAGACAATGGCAAAGCAAGGTAGTGGTGATGTAATGGAGGAGGGGAGGGACCAAACTTACTGCAGCATCTGAACCAGTTCCACAGTCGGGGGGGGGGGGCGGGGGGCGGGCCGGCGCCCAGGTTCGAAAGAGGGGTGGGGCCGCACCCTAGACAGACACTACAGCGCGTGCCCAGAGGACACCGCGTGTAGCTGGGCTCTGACTCCGCAGCTCACATATGCGCTGTCCAGGATGCGAACACTGAGGTATCCATAATGCTACAGCTGCATTCAGATGCCAGAAGTAACACCCTGTCAGGCTCCTGCCCCAGGACTCCTTCTTCCATGCTGTGCCCTGGGCCTGGGCCAATAAGCCTTCTTCTACCTTCAGGCCTTAACCCTTCTGTTCAGACGGGGCCAATCAGAGGCTCCCCCAGCAGTAGCTGCTAGGACTGGGAGCCAGGGCACCTCTCACCCTGCAGGTCTCCACAGCTGTCAGTCAGGGCCTTATCAATGACTCATTTATATAGGCAGGTGTCCCCTCCAAAGAATGCACACGTCCTGGGGACAGAAATCTAACAGCAGCTAACTTAACCTAAAGCCATTTAATCACACCCAAGTGCCCTAAAGGCAAGGCTATAATTTTCAATAGAGACCCTCACTTGAGGATTATTACTGTTTCCAAAATTACGGAAAGCATAAAGCACTGTTTAAAAAAAAATCAGTAAACATCTACAAAGTTAACAGAATTCTAAAAAAAAAAAAAAATTCTGTCTTAAGTAAATCAGAGTAGATAGGCAAAGAGAAAAAGACAGAAAAGCAATATATACAGTATGTTGACCAAGGAGTCACGAATGACGTACTTTATTTAATTTAGATCAGTAATTCCTAAACTCTTATAGAGTCTAGTACTTGAAGAGAACCTGATGCTCCCTACACACACATACACACACACACACACACACACACACACACACACACACACACACACCACACAAAACTCTGCTTCACTCTTTCTGACTCCCGTGACTATGGGGTCCTTACCTCAGGATAATGAGGAGACTCTTCCTCAGAGAACTCCCCAAACCTGGATGGGTGGAGGCCTGGGTCTGGAGACTAAGACCAGGGACCTGATGCCACAACTGAGTTGGTCTCTGACTCGCTGGCACCACCTGCCGGCCAGTTTCAGCATTACCAGTCTTAGCTGTACACAAGTTACCAGAGAACCGCTGTACTCGATCCACAGTGAGGCAGAGAGTGTGGCAGTGGGGATTTTGTAGGACACCCTACAGTGGCTAGAGGGTAAGCTCATGACATCACATTCCTCCTAAGAGGAACTAACCATGTGCCCTTGTCACCCTGTTGGAGCTGAGGGGGCACATGACAGGGACTGCATGTTCCCAAGCCTACACCACTCTGACCCTCAGAGTTGGGACACTGCGCCCATCCGGCCTCCACCAGTCTGAAGGAACGAAGGAATGCACAGCACACAGCTGTGAAAGAAATGGTGAAGGCTGTCAGTAGTCAGAAGTCAGAAATGCAGTGAGCCTCCATGAGGTTCTTTCTACACAGGATGTGAGAAGTGTGGTGGGCATTCATGGTATATAGGCAGCTGCTAAGTTCTCTGAAGCCTCGTCTAAACAGTCTCCCGCACGTCCTGGTTCAGGCTCTCTTGTCAAAACAGCATTTACCAACCTGCAGACACACACACACACACACACACACACACACACACACACACACACACACGCATACAGTGCACCAATAGCACAGGACAGAAACATTCTCCCCAAGCTAGGAAACAAAGCCAGAGAACAGTCAGAGACCAGGCCCCAGCAGGGTGCATGGACAGAAACAGGGAACAGCGTCTCCCTACCTCCTTGGCAATATAACACTTTTTCAGCTAGCAGGGCCGAGGAGACAGGCCTAAGAAAGACATGTAGTAACATAACCAGGGTAGCTGCCTGGCTGAGCCCCATTACAGGGGCCTGGCAGGATGGGGCTGGGAGAGGAAGGAAACAGTGATGACAGGGAGGCACCAAGGTGACAAATGACCAGCAAGAGTGGGAGGATCTAGATGATTCCGTGAAAACGCAGAGCCGTGGATAAAGACCAGGGTCTCGGAGCGCATCTAAGCACGCACTGGCGTTGGCCAGGTGAGTAGCCAAAGACACACTTAGAAGAGGCCTGGAGTCCAGAGCCCAGTGTGAAGCTGCAAACCTGTACCCACATGACACTTAGCAGCTTCAGGAACGAACAGATGTTCTGCCATGGGATCCAGCCACAAAGAGAGAGGCCGCAGGACCAGTAATGACAGGCCACCCAGAGAAGCGCCAAGAGCAAACAGAAAGCATGCCCTGGAGCCAGGTCCTGTCTTTCCTGGTGCGACACAGTGGTGGCTAGAAATGGTGAGGGGCAGCGGAGGGCAGAACAGGGTCTTCAACTTAGCATCAGACACTTGGCAAGTGGGAGTGGTATCAAAGGCAGGGTGTTTCAGAGAAAAAAAAAAAAACACCACGAGAAGGTGCTACATTCTGAAACATTATATTTATTAGAGGGAGAAAAAAAAAACCACAAATGTCTTTCAAGGTAGGCCAAAATGCCACATACTTTCTTTGAGGTGTAATTAGGCGCATTTGTTGAAGATAAACATAGAAGTGTTGGTTTGATCTTGGAGTAAAAAGTAGGCAACGGCTCCCATAAAGCACAGAGGCAAGTTTAATATCTAAAGCCGGGTTTGAGGAGGCAAGTGTGCTTTCATCTGCTCGAAAGAGCTGGTGTGAATGCTTTGTTTGGGAAACGGCATTCTTGAGAGCGTTCGTAAATGACGTCACTCAAATAAACGACCGCACTTGTGTTTTGCTCGTCCCTACAGCCTTCTGGCTTGCGCAGGAGACACCACACACTTTCCTTCTCAGAAACGGGAAAGAAGTCAGGCAGTAGGGGTATGCATCCATCCTAGCCATAGACCATGTCCTGAGGCTACAACAGACAAAGTCATTGTCTGTCAACTAGAAGTGGACACTTCAGGTCCAGTGATGGCTCAGTAGGTAAAGGTACTCGGCACGGGGCTAGGCGTGGTGACTCACGCCGCTAATCCCAACACTCGGGAGGCAGAGGCAGTGGAGCGCTGAGAGTTCAAGACCAGCCTGGTCTACAGAGCAAGTTCCAGGATGAAGAGGGCTGTTACACAGAGAAACCCTGTCTCGAAAGCCACACGTGCACGCGCGCGTGCACACACACACACACACACACACACACACACACAGTGTGTGCTTGCCATGTAAGCCTGGAGGCCTGAATTTGATCCCCAGAATTGCAGAAAGATAGGAGAGAACTGACCCCACAAAGTTGTCTTCTAACCACACACACAACATGGCATGATATGCAGGCATGCACGCACCACACACACATACAAACAAATATTTTTTTTAAGAAAGGGGGACATTTTAGATCATTTATGAGGTGCAAAGCAGGGCTTCATGACATTTTTCAATAAGGACATTGTTCCTACCACACATCAATTCTGTCACTGTCCCATCTCCCGCCCAACAGCCACAGGTTTTCTACATTAAACAACTTTAAACAACTAGTCTGGTTATTTTTCCATTATTCTCTTACTATTTGTAGGTACTTAGTGTGTGTGCATGGGGGTGTGTGTCTGTGTGTGCATAACATGTACCATAAATATGAATGCCTTTGTATGAGAGTATGCATATGTGGTATGTGTGTATGAGTGTGTATAACAAGCATCACACACGCATGTATGCACAGGTGGAGAAGAAGGCTGGAGCTGGAGCTACACGTGGGTGTGAGCTGCCCGACACGGATGCTGGGAATCCGTTTGCAAGAACAGTATCAGCCAAGTCATTTCTCCCTCTCCTCCCAAGCAGTAAACTTTTAACTAAACGTTCTGCACCGTCTATGCCATTGCCGCAGCCTGGACTGGAGGCTCACAGGGAGGTCTGTGCCTTGGGGAACCCAGTGGCAAAGGTACTAGGACCAGGGCAAAGCTGAGCTTAGTCCTGCAGAATGAGAAAGCAGAGACCCCTTCTCAGGTTCCGCATAGCCCAAGCCTTCCTGCACGCACACAGACTGAGACCCGAGGGCCTTAGCCTGGCCTGGGACAGGTACCTCGCTCGTGCAGCCTGACGGCTTCTATGAGGTACGGCACCAAGAGACGGTTCACGATAAATCCAGGAGTGTCCTGTTGCAGGCGAGAGAGGGAGACAAGTGAATAGAGGTCAAGTTGGCTTTCTTACAGGAAAACCTTCGCGTGCCACTGAGGAAGGCCTCCTTGATGTCCCTCCGCCATGTTCCTCTCCTCCTGTCTGAGCACCCTGCGACTGTCTGCAGCGTTCTTTCTAAAACCCAGGCCTCCGTGTTCTGCTGGAGCTTTGCGTCCACCAGACTGGACTTGATGTACAGGCCTCTGATTCCCAGGGCTCAGAAACGGCTGGAACTGATGGACCCACAGAACTGTTTACAAACACAGCTGCTCATCAGCAGGCAGGAGTCAGGGCCCAGACAGACTCCTGGGTCTTTTTTTTTTTTTAAACTGAAACCTGGGCTCCCCTCTCTCAGACTTCATGTATGGTGGCATGGGGGGGGTGCCTTAGGGGTCGGACATAGTCTAGCCCTTCCAGGACAGGGAGAGACCTGCTATCAGTAGTGGCCATGGCTCATACTGTCTATTAGCAGTATCTTATAGCATCACACCCGTAAAAATCACCTCTCTCCCGGACTGTGCGCAGTCGGTCCCCAGGGGTCCATGTGTTGGTTCCGGGGAAGATGGGTCCCAGAGACAGATACTCAGATCGCTGAAGGCTTGTGCCTCAGAAGGGACCACTCCCTTCCTGAACAGAGTTTTTCCCAGCGACCTGACCCGAGCATCTCTCTGACTTGGACAAAGATGTGTTTGTTCCTCCAGAATGATCTCTGACCACAGTGACTCCACTTAGCCATGAGGTCTTCCCTAGAGCCCAACTGGTACTGACACCAGGGCCCTCGAAGCTCTAGAACTGCAACTAAGTAACACTGCCCCATCTGAAGAGGTGTCGAAGGATTTATACTGCACACAAGCCTCCAGCCCTAGTGCTGCTCCTAGCCCAGGACCCACACTTGGAGGACTCCTGCTGGGATGGTCTGAAAGAAAATGGCCCCCAAAAGGAGTGGCACTCTTAGGAGGTGTGACTTTATTGGAGTGGGTGTGGACTTGTTACTATAGCAACAGAAAAATAAAATCATTCCACATACTTTACCTTGCAAGAAACGGGATGCTTTCCGATGGTTTTACAAAAGTCGATCAGAGATTCAAAAGTCTTCTGGCTAGTCATCGGTGTTTTAATGACCTGGAAACACAAAGCAGGGACTCAGGACTGGAGAGGACAGGGAAGCAGTGGACCAGCTCCACGCCACTGAACCAAAGGCTCTATCTACACCGGTGACAAAAACATCTTTAGTTTTAGCCCAGTAGGCGTCTCAAGCCAGAAGCAAAATGTTGACCCAAACGTCCCTGCAAGACACTGGGGTCTGCAGAATGCACAAACCCAGTGGTTAAAATTCAAGTGTGTGCTGTTGGGTGGGGGTAAGGGAGTCTTTCAGGCACTGTGATCCAGGTGTCTTAGAGTCAAATCCCAGGTGTATGGCTTTACTGAATTTGGCATGGATCACTGGGCATGTTTCTTGAAACTGCAATGACATTAAAACCACAGGATGCTGAGGTAAGAAAGAGTGGGCAGGGGTGAAGCGCCATGCATGGCACCTAGTAGAAGGAAAAGCCAAGGAGATCCCAGCTCTGATTCGTGTTGCTAATGGCTACAGGACGGAAACTCGTGTGGAGCGGGCAGGGGCTTGGGTGAGATGAGGTGGTGGCTGTCCTGAAGGTTCTTCTGCATGGACCCCACCTCTGCTGATGATGAGGGGTGATATACCCAAGACACGGCCATCTGGATTTCCAGACGAGTGTCTATTTCAGGTGCCACCCACTGACACACAGATGCCCCAGCTCCCAGGCCCTGCACTTCAAGAGCGATCATTGGGGAGGAGAGCTTTCATTTTAATCAGTAGGACCCCAAAGGCTGCCACTGGGGCTGACAGACCTCCTGACCTTCCCTTCAGGGCACACACAGCTGTATGCCACTGGAATCCAGAAGAGGTGGTACCATGTGTAACGCCTCAAATGATAGCTCTCGGAGTCAGTTGTGTAAATTGGAGAGCCCAATGTGAATTACACACACCACATATGTACACAAGTTTGTTTTTTGGTTTTGGTTTGGTTTGGTTTTCCAAGACAGCGTTTCTCTATAGCTTTGGAGCCTGTCCTGGAACTAGCTCATGTAGTAGATCAGGCTGGCCTCGAACTCACAGAGATCCGCCTGCCTCTACCTCCCGAGTGCTGGGTTAAAGGTGTGCGCCACCAGCACCCGGTTGTACACAAGTATTTTCAGTGGCGGTTAAGAACTTCAATTAGAGTCATGATGAGGAGGCCCAGCTCCTCCAGTAGACCCTGGCAGGTGTCTCCATCCCTTTGGTGAAATGAGAATCAAATGAGAATCAAGATACTGGATGTGTTCCCTGTAAGAAGACGATCGGATCTGGCTAAAGGAGCTAAGTCTGTGCGGGGTGAGGAGCTACATGAAAAGCATAGGAGAACCAACAAGCACCGAGAGACGGAGACGAAGACAGAACGGACCAGAAACTCCCATGAACTGAGATCTTCAAACTATTCTGAGGGAGCCTGGAGGCCGGTGTCAGATCACAGGCAGCTAGGACAACCCACGCCAGCCTTGGATCTTCAAGGTAAGCTGCTGGGGCTTAAAGGAGTCGGCGGCTGAGGTTTGGGAGTTTTGTAAACATGAGGAGTGCGCATGATCCTTCCTGCATCCACCATTCATCAACACAGATAATACAGCCCCTCCCCGCCCAGCACAAGTCCCGCCCCCGCATAAGTCCCGCCCCCAGGGAAGGGAAAGGCTTCTTGGCTCACCACTGCCCCCTTGGCTCACCAACAGCACACAAAAATCCTAACCTGGAGTGGCGAGTTGGGCATCAGTCCCTAGCTGAGAAACAAGTGGCAGCTGAGAGCTGCTGGGAGGTGGGGAGTAGGTTTTCTTTAAGGGCGTGGCCCCTGGTAAGTCAATCATGTTCCAATGGGAAGCCACGCCCCCAAGAGTGTATGGACCTGATGGGTTTCATTTACAAAAGAAAAAAAAAAATGAGGACACATTTGAAGGATGCTGAGGGGAGCGGGGCCTGGAAGGGTTGTGGGGTGGGAGGTTGGACAGAGGGAAATGTGATTTAAATCCATCATCTGAAATTCTCAGACAACTAACAAAAAGGAATAAACAAGCTATAAATAAATATTCAAGAGAATGGGACACTTTCAGAGACTACTTTCTAGAAAATGGTAACAGTTGCTAAGCATTTTCTGGTACCCAAGGCCCTACATCTCTCAAGATGCAATGCGAAAGACTCTTGCTCTTTACTGGAACATGACAGAACATACTAGCTGCAGACCGGAAATTCAGGAAACCTAGAACCTATACTCCATGAATCACTAGGTGCCAAAATGAACCCCTTCCTTCTGCAGAAGGGCAAATGGTATCTTCTACTTCCCATGATTCCCCTCACCTCTTCTTTTCACTGCTCACTTCCTTTTCTAAAAATCGAGTTTGCATTATGTGTTTAGGTGTTCTGACTGCATATGTGCATGTCTCGTGCCCACAAAGGTCAAAGACAGTGTTAGATCCCTTGGGACTGGAATTACAAAGAGCTGTGAGCTGCCATGTGAGTCCTGGGAGTCAAACCCAGGTCCTTTGGAAGTGCAGCCAGTACTCCTAACCACTGAACCATCTCTCCTGCCCATGGCTGACTTCTTTAATACCACACTAGAAGAATAGAGGAACAATGTCTGGACAGGAAAGTTCCCACCGCAGGAAGATCGGACCTGCCACTCAGAAAAAAGAAAAAGGGGATATAAAGCAGCCAGAACAGACAAAACATGCTCACGAGGGGATCAGCAGTGAGGGAGACAGGAGGCAAGAGGTTGGGCGAGAAGGCAGCCATGAACAACTCCCAGAGAGGCCCCGCCAGTGTCTGGAGGTTTGCCTGGCTCCACACGGCAGCATCCCCCACACTTCGCACGGCAATAACTCCACAGCCTCAGACCAAATGCTGCTTTAATAGCGGTCGTCCTGGAGACCCTGTAATTAGCCCCTTTAAAGGGCAAGCTGCCACACTTCAAGTGCAAATTGTCTGTCGTGACTCCATTTCCCAGCGAGTGAGCAGAAGCCGTCCAAACAGGAACACTGGGCAAGCGCCGGGCAAGCCCTGCCTGGCCCGGCCCTCTCCCTCTCCCTCTCGTCTGAGGTCAGGAGGCTCAAGGCTGCAGGAAGCTGCTTTTAATAGGCTCTGATCACAGCGTGGAGATGTGACTCACCCGAGACAATACTAAAAGGATGGCCGCATGGGACCAGGATTCACACCAGGGGTGACACACATCATGTCGGACAAGACCTGCATCTCCAGCATGAGCAAGCTGACCTCAGCAAAACAGCATGAAGGTGTATAGGCCTCACCTCCCTCGTCTAGTCAGGGACTCTTAGTGTCCCTCTCTGTCTGATGCCCCTATCAGCAATGTCACTGGAGACACAAGCAAGTCAGTAACAAACCTAGGAGCATAAAGTAGCAGGCGTTGCTTCTTTCTTTGGTCCTGAAGAGGACAAATTGTGGCAAGAGCAATACAAAGGGGTGACCTTCCGGGTTCCTCTTAAATTTCCTACAACCAAACGCCCAGTGGGAGGACAGGCGCGCCTAGGAAACAGAAGTGCAAAAGCCAGAGAGCAAAACACAGAGGACCAGATGCCCACTGACCTCCACAAGCTTCATCATGGGGACCGGGTTGAAGAAATGGAGGCCAGCAAATCGGTCTTGCCGGGTAGTGGCATTGGCCATGCTTGTGATCTGCAGAGAAGAGGTGTTGCTGGCAAAGATGGTGTGTCTGCGGAGAAAGAAAACGGTGGAGAAGCAGAATGAGTCCCACGGGTGCCCACGGTCCGAACCGTGGCACCGCATTCTCACAGGGCACGGCCAGGCACTGTAGATCTGCTGGAGCGCCCCGCTGAGGAAGTCAGTCAAAAGGCACGTCCGCCACACAGTGGCTGGAAGCCAGTGACTGCATTTACAAGGAATCCCTGCAATTTGCAAAGGAAGGGGGTGGTGATGCACAACTTTAATCCTAGCACTCGGGAGGCAGAGGCAGGTGGATCTCTGTGAGTTCCAGCCCAGCCTGGTCCACAGAGTGAGTTCCAGGACAGACAGGGCAGAGCAGAGAAATCCTGTCTCAAAAACAAAACAAAACAAAACAACAACAACAAAAAAAAACAAGACAAAAAACCTGTATTTGAAATTAACTTACCAACCAGCTCATATGCACGACCAGCTTTTCTGAAATTTTAGAAACTAGAGTTCTCCTGTCTACATATTTCAGTTTTCAGGATATGTGAGGGAAAGAGGGGGAAGCAATTAATGAGAAGACCTACTCAACCTAACACAACGAAGTGATCAGACTCATGAGAAAATGGAAGGATGGACCAGACATTTAGACCAGACCACAAAATCTGTACACACTCCTCAGAGAAAGGCGGCTGAGCACACAGGAGCACAGGACAGTCCCCTCTAGTAGAAAACCCTTCACTTCGTCATTAGACAAGATTTCAAATGAAAGCATACTGCGCTGAGCATGCTCAAAAGGGAATTTACTCACACAGAAAACCTGGGAAAGGGTGTGTGTGTGTGCACACACAAGACACATGTACTGTGCTCACAGGCCATCCTGAAAAAGCACTTCTATTTATTTAATATGCCAAGAATTTTAACTTATAAATCTCAACTTACAAATTCCATACTGCCTTGAGACTAAAATCCAATTCTTTTCTTTTTCCTTCTCAAAATTTAATTTGTTAAGATCAGAATATAGTGGGGAGCAAATACTCCCGGCTGGATGGTTTGGCTTTCCTGCAGCGCCACCTTGTGGATAGCTCACAAAGCAGCAGGACGCCCTTTAGCCCAGTTGGATCTGGTCTTAGTATCCAAGGAGAGTGGCCCTTTCCGACCTGATTCTCAGGGCAGAGAAGGGGGGTCCCTGACTCTCTAAAGCAATATAGTCTGTCCAAATTCAGGGGCAAGCAAAAAGAAAGCATCTGGGGAAGAAAGAAATTCAGAACTTTGGAAAAGAAAGGAGGGCAAAGGAGAGGCCAGCCTGGGAGTGGTCACCTACACTTGCAATCCTAGCACAGGGGTTGCTGAGGCAGGAGGATTGTGAGGTGGAGACTGTCGCCTTGGACTTGAGAAGACACTGTCTTGGCAGTGTGGGGAGATGGCTGAAATGGGTAAGCAGCTAAGGGATGAGGCTCTCTGAGGTCTCAGGTCAGGCGAGCCTGCTTTCAAGGAACTGGCAGGGGTACCTTTCTCCACCTCCACGACCGGTTACTTAAAAGCCAAGGTAGCACTGGGAAGGTCTTCGCAATTTTCTACCTCAGAAACCTTAAATTACAGGTTGTAAACCTCAGGACATCCCAAGGTCAGATGGAGAAGGAAGTGGTGCCCTTCCCCCTTCCTCTCGTGTTCCTCCACGGACACCAGGGGGCAGCTGGACTTTTCGCTGCCAAGGAGCAACCTGGCAGCAAGGCCAACCTGCTTAAGGAGAAGCGTGAAGGGCAACTTTGCCAGGCTCCTCGCTGACTTGAGAGCCAAGCCCAGTACCGGAAGTGTCCTCTTTGTCATATGTTTCTGCGGTGCTAAATGGACACAGTCAGCAGAATGCTACATAGAGGACAAGACAGAACCAGGGCCTCTCCCACACACAGCCCAGCGAGTCGATACACAAGAGTTTCTCTTTAGTCACAGATCACCTGTTTCCCTGAGAATTACTTTTGCATATAACCTTACTCCACCTTTTAGGTCTAACGATGAAGAGAGAAGTATAGTCAAGAAGGTCACAAGTCAAGCACATGTCAGTTAATTGGTCAGCTGTCATAACTGCCAAAAGCTAGCTAAATCTAGGAGGCCCTAGATTGTGACCCTAGACTGTTGTCACCTGTGCATAATCTTACTGACACCAGAGGCCCCCACAGGCCTGGACACTCCTCCATGACCCGGACGTGGCTGTCTTTTCTCTGCTATCCTCATGGGAACCTGGTGGATTCGGTGTTCACTTAATGCCCCCAAGAGAGTTGTAACTAACCCCAGATAAAACTGTAAACAGGAGTGTTGAAGATTGATTGCACAAATGGAAGGCAGAATGCCTTCAATTAAACCATTCTGGCCAGCATCTGAGGCCTTATCAGTGCTGGCCGCCAGGGGGCAGCACAACCACCTTGGTGACTTTGTTGACTCCCCACTGGAAGCCTTACCCTCTGGGAGGAGTGAATGGGGGGGTGGGGGAGAGAAGGTGAAGGGAGCGGGAGTGGGAACTGGGATTGGTATGTAAAATGAGAAAAGATTGTTTTTTAAAAGATAAGAAAAAAATCATTAAAAAAAAAAAAAAACACGAGAAACAAAACACGCTGTCTGGTGTCTGGTGCCCTCTAGACTCCCACAGCCCTGGAAGGAGTCGCCTGCGCGTCTTCTATTAGCAAATCACACAAAGGTCTGCGCCCCCTAGTGGTTACAGGAAACACTCAGGCTCGACACTGAACAGATTTTCCATCTAACCACAGGCAACTAGACCCCTCCTACGGACAAGGATGGGAGAAGGGAACCTATCAAGAGGTGCTGGGGAGCAGAGGGCTGGGTCGGCTGTCAGAGCCGGAAGCTCAAGAGCCAGGGCAGGAGGTTCGGTCACGTACTCGGCAGCGAACTTGTCCAGCCGCTGGAACAGCTCATTCTTCAACTTCAGATTCTCCACGACAGCCTCCACCACCAGGTCCGTGCTGTGCACGCTGGAGGCTGCGTCGGTGCTGGTGGAGAGGCAGCTCAGGGTCTTCGCCATGAACTCGTCGCCAGCCTAGGCAGACAAGAGGGGGAAGAGAGCATTCACTGGGCCCTGCCGGCCATGGTCTTGGGTGACCCCTGCAAATGGGTTCTTTGACACCCCCCACCCCCAGGGAGTCACGACCCACAGGTTGAGAAGCACTGCATTAGCACCTCCCCAACAGCAAAATGGTTGACTCCTTCTGCGTTCTAATCAGCCCCAGTGGAATGTTTAGTGGCAAATTACATAGGTCTAAACAGGCGTAGTTTTACACAATTAGCCACAAGCACGCGATAAGGTGAAGCCCCGCCCCTGCCCCGCCCACCACAAAGGTGGAGCCGTCAGAGGACTGGTCTTAGGGACACTGATAAGAACTTACCTTAGGGTTTTCTGCGAACTTCTTCTTTGCCATTCTTTTCAGACTGTCCTCAATTCCCTTCTTGGATTTTGCCAGAATGTCCTCTGTTTGGTCCACCAATACTACCGTATGGCCAGTCGCTGCAGCCACCTAATGGGAAAAACAAAAGTTTAAAGAAAAAGAGTCCGTTTCAATATTCCACGTGACTTCTACCACTCTTGCCTTCTACTTCTTGCCTGGCATGGTCATAAACCGCACAACAGATTCCCACATGACGCACAGCGGTAAAACCTCCCGCAGGGTGTGAAGGCCACAGAAGGCCCCTTCCTATAGAGCCCAACTACCCGTTGTTCCAAAAAGGAGCTTGCATTTTCTCCTTAGAGCTGGAGATGGGGTGCAGTTCCACCCCTCTGCCTCCCTCGGTCCCCTTTGTTTCCTGCTTCTGCAGCCCTTAAATCAGAAGTAGGTGAAACTTAAAATCCTAATCCCCAAGACAAAAAAAAAAGACTGTCCCCAAGAGCTATCTGAAGACAAAATTTAAAAGGGAGCAAAGTCTATGTCACCCAATGTCACCCAGTTTACAGGGGTGGGGATTCCTGATTTCCCGCCTTCTCTGTCCCTCCCTCCCCCAGATACGGTATATTGAGCAAAGCTAACGAGTTAACAACCAGCTTGGTTTATACACTGTCAGCGTCAAATCGACCCCTTTAAACAGGCTGCCAAAAGCTTGGGCGAGGACCATCCTGCTCTTTAGACAAACTTCCTGCTGGTTTGTCTAAGACATCGGTCATTGATTCACCTACATACAGGGGCAAGGCAATCAAGTCAGCATAGGAGCAGAAGGACACCTAGCCTACCGCAGACATGATGTGACAGCCAGCACTGATGAGAGGCCCGTTGGGACCCACAGTACTCATTAAAGCCCCGGCCTTAGGACCCATGGACACTGGTGGGGTGGCAAGAGGGGTGGACGGCCCAAGAAGTAAGGCAAAAACGGCAAGTCTTAAACCACTGTCATCATGGAAGATTCTTGAAGCCAAGCAACTAAAACTCAAAGCAGACAATAAAGAGGGAAAGAAACAGAAACAAATGAGCAGCATTTCAAGGTAAACAGGTTCGAATCCCAAAGCAAGATGTCCAATGCAAAATCAAGACTGAAAGGCAGGTTTCATAATACAATGACATCCAGGGTTTCTCCCACACAGCCGAACAGGTCCGAGCCTGCATGGCCTGTGGGCTGCTTCAGCATCCCAATGCCTGAGAGCCACAGAATGAAAACGTTGTTGAGACTCAAGGACTGACAGATCAAGACAAAGGGGACAAGAAGGATGAGTCATCTTGATAGAAGACGGACGTACACAGTGAGCTCAGCTGTCAGTGTAAGGCCAAACTCTTCGCCAAAGCAGAACACCCACGGACCCAGCCCAGCTTCTCTCCAAGAAGCCAAGGCCAAGAGCCAACAACTCGAATCCTGCACAAATCAGTCTCCAGTTCAGTAAGTTCAAGGTGAATAGGCAGGGCAAATTTAGATGCAGTATAGAATGGAGCTGACACAGCACCCAGTCTGCCTTCAGGAAGGCTGCTCGCGAAGCTGACCCTGGACTCACATCTGGAACTTGGGTGTAGAGAGAATTCCCTCCATCCTCTGACAAAGCACCTTATACTGCTGCAGGCTCTCCCGAGAGAGTGCAATTTGGAATGTGCCAGGTAGCGGGTGATATCATGTCTAGCATCCAGTAAAAATCCTGGGTACCAAGTCTCTCGCTAGTGCCCCTATGGACATCCTTTATACGTCGTGCCACATCTGGCTGCCGAGGGAACTGCACGTGTCCAATGTGACTCCTCTCGCCTGATAGGTGACATACCCCAGTGGCCCTACCCTTTGCAGTAGCAAACTGCCACCAGGAGAATGTGGGTCCTGTGGTCCCTCATTGGTTTGGGAAGAGCTAGTAGAGAAACTTTAACAGAAATGAACACATTTCAAGTTCCTGGTTGGGCCAGGCAGGTAACTGAACTGCTCTGTGTTTGGCAGTTGTGATAAGTCACTGACTTGGACCGACAGGAGTGATGGCCACCAATGGAGGTTTGTGACCTGCAAAGCGGGGACAAATAAGCGGCTGCCTTGGGGACCTTTTTGCTCTTGTCTTGGCTCCTCTGAAATACGATCCCGATGTCATTTGAAACAAGTCGTTCTCACATAGTTTCTCTTGACTTCTGCCCTAGATGGTTCCTTGAGGGGACCACAGAGGACCCCTGGACTCCTACCCACCTGCGTCCCAACCCAATGTCCCCCTCTTCGTCTCTACCAGGAAACTGCCCAGGTCTTTCCAGCTTAGAGTTGAGTGGATTAAATACTTATGGCACAAGATAGTGCCAAGCAGACGGGAATGGCAACCAAGAGCGATGGTGGGGAAAGCCTCCTACATGGGGAGTTTATAATCTCAATTGTGAAAGCGTCAAACTACCCAAAATGAAGCCTCTGGTCTACCAGTACACCCACAATGGCTCAGCACTCAGGGAACAAGTACCTGTGATGGCCCAGTACCCCAGGGAGTAAGCACCCACAATGGCCAAGCACCCAGGGCCGTACCTGTGATGGCCCAGCACCTAGGGAGCAAGTACCTGCGATGGCCCAGTACCCTAGGGAATAAGCACCCACAATGGCTCGCACCCCAGGAAGCAAGCATTAATCCTTAAACAAGTAGGTCTCCCTTGAGGTGAGACTGCAGGTGTTATTTCTAAAAAAGCATCTTCCTGGTCACAACAGCCACCTCTGACTGACCGAGCACTTTTTGTTGGGTTTCAGTCGAGTGGTGCCAGCCTCGCATCTTTAAGCAGAGCAAAGGAAACCTACGGGTGCTGTGCACGCAACTGGCCAAACACAGCTGCTCAATCACAGGGAAACTACACCTCCAGACAGTGTTCCAGGAGAGTGAAATATGACATGCAAGTTACATGAACATGTCAGGGTGACTCTGTATAAATCACTGCTTATGTCTCACTGATTCAGAAGACCCAGGAGACGCTGACTGATACCAAGACCAACACCATCTAAATGCTCAGGTTCCATACAGTCCCTTCCAACAGAAGGGCCCTAGAGACACAGGCCGGCAGCTACTTGAGGGCAACATCATGTCTTAATCTACCTTTGCAAACCTCAAAGTCAGGCCCATAAATAACACATGGCCTGGTACACATCACATGCTTCATGCTTCATACAATATCCATGGGATTAGGAGACCAGTGTTCCTTGCTTCTACCACTCCACTCCACCCAGGCTTCATCACACACCAGTGGGAAATAAGCCAGAGATTTACAACGAGTCACTCCGACGTGATCATGGCACCCTCTCACTGGTGAGTCAGTCTAAATGGGTCGCTGCAGAAATGGATGCTGGAGCTGGCAGTCTGGCTTGTGCCTCAGTGAAATCCAGAAAGCTGCACGATTCTCACTGCAGACTAGCCTGACCCACTCAGACAACTGAAAGTATGGCTAAGCCACCAAGGCCTCCTGAGAGCCAGCATGCTTCTTCCTGAATTACTGGTGGACTTATCGGATTTTTTTTTTTTTTGTATAAACCATTGGAAGCAGCACTCCACACCAACTCTCAACCAACAGAAAAACATAAATCCTTTTAAAAAGAGAAAAAAATGTAACAAGAACTGGAAGGGGTGTATACTGAGAACCTGCTGAGCGCCAGGATCAAGGCTGCATTTTCCCAAGACTATTTCTGACTAACCCAACAGGTTTGGGGAAGCAAATAACATCCATTTAGCAAAAGATGCCATCAATACAAAAGAGGCTGAGCCTTGCCCACAACTACTCAGTGAAGCCATGAAGCCAGGATTAAGTTCTGAATCTGCTTGGCTCCAGGACCTGTCTTCCTGGAAACATCAGAGGCACACATGACATTTTGACTATCTGCTAAAATAATCAGTTTTCAAAATACAATAGCATAAAATAGCATTTATAAAATAGAAATATAAATATATTTATAAAATAGTTGAAAGTATATTCTCTTTCAACTCAAGAAAGAGAATAGTAACTATTGCAGGCTTGATAACAATACCACCACTAAAAGTCCTGCTAAGTAACAAATCAGTTTCCCCCACTGATGTTCTGATACACGTTAACAGTCCCTATGAAACTAACCTTACTGTTCCATTTGATGCATGAAGAAAAACGGAAACTTACAGAGTGTTGTATAACAGTTTTTTCTCTGAGATTAAAACAGTTTTTTCTCTGAGATTAAAACTCTGCCTGACGGTGGTAGTGCACCCCTTTAGTCCCAGCACTTGCGAGGCAGAGGCAGGCAGATCTCTGTGAGTTCGAGGTCGGCCTGCTCAACAGAGAGAGTAACAGGACAGGCTCCAACCCTGCATCCTGCAGGAGGAGGCTCCTTAAGCAGGAAGGTAAACAACTCAAAATAGCTTCAGGATGTCCCTAAAACTGACCAAATTCTCTAGACCCCTCCATGCCAGAGGAAGCAATGAAAGCCGAGAGTCCCTCCTCAGACTCAACAAAGTCAAACTGAGGAGATTCCCCAGGCAAGCTGAGCTATACAAAAAGACTCAGACCAGACCAGCTGCCTGGAAGAAGCAGAAGCCAGCTGCGCTGCCTGGAAGAGGTTCAGGCCAGTTGCGGCACCTAGAAAGGACACTCTCCAACCCGCTGAACTGCCTGCTGTCTGTGCAGTGTGCTCCAGGTTCCTAGCCTTGTGAGCTAGCCCATGCTGGCGTGGGCCCTGTTGATGCAGCTCCCTTTAGAGTCATCTCTGCTCCTGTAAGAAACCCCTCACCCATATCCCTGTAAGTAACCTCAATAAAATCCAAGGTTCACCAAGTTGGACTTTGGTAGTATCTGTACTTTGGTCTGTCCTGGTCTCCCTGTCTGGAATGAGCAGACTGTGGGTGTTGCATCTCCCCCGGAAAAGTTGTCACACAACCCAGAAATTAACTAGAACAATAAGTCTACAATTATTATGGCTTCCATCAAGCATAATTATGACAATGTAACACTGTGCTGAGCTGGGAAGCTCAGTTCTATGGGCCCAAAGTCCTTACAAACTCATTATCACATGCCTGTGACTGCCCTTCCTCCCGCTTTCTTCTCTCAACCTTTACAAAATGTCACTGAAAGAGGAGCTGTGA